ATTTATGTTGTTGTCTAACAGCAAATTCCAGAATCCGTCTCATGATAGATGTTTGAAGATAATCGGCAAAAAGCCCTGGATCTAAGTTTCGTGCTTGTTTGCACTCGTCAGCAAGGTGAATCTGCAGTCTTGAAGGACCTCACGCTTGACTGTTTTTCTTTAACAGTTTAATAGAGTGTTGGGTTTGAATATCACAAGGTTCATGGGGATTCTGATTAATTTCACATGTTAGATTTCGTCACAAACCCGCATAAGTAAGAGACCATTGAATAGTATGGGACTCCTCATCAGCGCACACCTACGACCTAATCAGGGATTGCATCCTGGATCTTCAGGTTATGAGATAAAGCTCGTTGACTATTCAGCCACTTGGGCTAGAGTTCATTAACGCGTGAATTCTAATTTTGTCAATCCGTCATATACAATTACCCACATCCGATGCCTTTGATGAGTATTCCACTTCACCTTCACATACTGGTGCCCAGTAGCGGCAAATTCTCATTACAGCTTCAGGGAATCCAACCAGCAGACATCAATGAGCACAATTACTCACAGGGATAGGCGTATGTATGTAAACCCGATGATTCTCATTTACTGGGATGAAACACGTGTTCTCTGTATATTCTCGACCCATCCGACTCTTCAACATCACCTAAAATACATGGACATAAAATAAAGCCAGGGTAATTTATATTTTGAATTTACCTTTGAAATGAATGGAACTTAAGTCTTAGATCATATTCACAATATCTTTCCTGTGGTCACGTTTAATCCTAATCGATCAATCAAGTTGAGCATGGTTTAAACACTTTTCATGTCGTAATAGTGTGTTTGTACACACATTTTATATATGTATACAGATAAGCTGATTTATTACTACTATTATTATTACTGCCTTTTTCCCCGTTCATATTGATTTTTATGTCAAATAAGGTAGAAAGACGAAGAAGAAGTAGAAGAATAAGAAGAAAAAAGAGGAGGGGACGAAGAAGAATTTCACTTCTCTTTTCTTTCATGACTTCTCTTTCTGTTAGCTAAAGCAAAACACGTGCGCACGACGAACACACACCTTCACAGACATACGTACATACAAACAGGCAACAAACATGAAATAACAAAATAACATTAATTTTTCTATTTGTATATTGAAAAATAGTGGACATTTTATGTTGAGGAAAAAATCAATTGATTAAAGTAGTAGTAGTCGTAGTAGTCTATTACTATTCTCTTGTTTTATTATTTTACACAATAGTTTTTGATACGAAGTTCCGCTCCCTCAAGTGGGACATAGAGCTTTCAAGCTTCGAGCTGTTTAAAATTTCATTAGCAGTGGTGCTATTATTATATTTTTGGATAATGGGGTGGAGTTGTTAGCATTGTACGCTCAACTTTACTTGCTAAACATTTGCCGCTTGTTAGAGATGCTTTTTGTGACACACTGACCAAGTTTCTGAGTCATATAAGCAGAAGAACTCACTTAGCATTAATGTTGAAAATTCCAATTTTGTTCTTAGTATCGAGTGAAGAAGATTTCCAGTGCTTTGCCTTTCTATTTCTGGTTTTGGCATCGTCATACATACTGTCACTTGTAGTTGAAACGATTCTGACTAGATAATTGAACGAAGTGACCTCTTTCTAATTTCTCCTGATGATAGTGATTGGTGCTTGTTGTTCCTGATATTAGTTATCTTCGTCACCACTGTCTTCTCTATGAAGCCCTACCTTCGCTGCCTGCTTCTTCTGCTAACTTCTTGGTTTCCTCCTGTAAGTCTTTTAGTTTGTGTGACACTAAATACAAATTGTTCATGAAGTCTAGTTCTTCTAGAGTCTTCTTATCAGTCCAGCGTATTCTATCATCTCGATTCCCACAGTTGGAAATATCACCACCGGTGATAGCAGTTATCCTTGTCTTATTCCTGTATTCACTTTAAAGGCGTCTCTAAAGTTTCTTGTTGTGGATCACTTGACTTTTGGCGTTTTCATATAACTAACTGTTGAATGAAGTTGATAAAGATTTGGGATCGCTTCCAAATTACTACATCGTTAACACTGTCTACGGGGTGTTTTCAAAGTCGATGAGGTTGAGGTAGATATTTGACTGCTATCCTATGCCTTGTTAAACACATATGACGACGGAGTGAATAAAATAATTCAAATCTGAAGTAAAAATTATGACCAAAGTTGTGTCCTTATAGGTATACGAGCTTCGCATGAACTGTTCATCAATACTTATTATGACCACTGATCATTCATTGGGTTTGGAAATAAGAGGTTCACTTTTTGTTGTTGTTTCCGAACAATACTCTGAAATCATATTTCAGAGAGATCAGTTGTTGAAGATGTATGGAGCTATGAAGAGGTTAGATGCCATTTGATCATAAGTGTTGCAGTTCTGTCTCTCGTGTTAAGTGGCATACTATAGTGAATAAAATTTAGGGTTAGGTGCAGGATATTAGGTGAAGAGGGGAAATTAATTTATGAGGCTACAAAGCTGCATCAATTGAATTGGACAGCACATATGTTACGCACGATGAGTTATTGCCTTCCTCTTTGACCAATACTAACTGATACAGGATCAGGTTGGAAAAGAGTTGAGGATAGTCAAAGCAAAACACTGAATAAGTCCATGGAATCATTGATTGCTAGTATGATTCATGTAGGGAAGTACAAACTGTCTTGTTAAGGTACTGCAGATACTCAGAAGAGGGGGGGGGTTGTCGACTGTTTTTGATATGGCTCAAAATCGTTTTCAATGATCCACATGTATCCACTCTTTTCAATTCCCCAGATCCATTAAATTCTTATTATTCTTGATGTTATTATTCTGCCTCCCATAAATTCCTGTTTCTTGTAGTTTTTTTGGTGGAATTTCTATTTACCTATATGTGATTTTATGAAGTATAGCAGTTTCAACTAATGAAATATTTTTCTGAACGCTTCTCTTTTTGTAAGACACATTTTAAGAAGAATTATTTGGATTTTATAATGATTCAATTTGACTCGGTGCTCAAATTATTCTAGGAAGTTGGCAACATCTGTGGTCTGATAATTTATAAGATATAATTCATTCTTTATTGAATACGTTTATTTGATATATATATATATATATATATATATATATATAAGTGGACAGAGTTTCTATCTGACTCTGAGTCAGTAAGCTGTTTTTGATGTAGTTGTGTTCTCTGAGCTGGATAGTTTATTTGCGAAGCTTTCGTTGCCCTGCTAGACAACATCTTCAGCACGCATACTTCAATTTGTAGTGAAGTGAGCTTTTAGATTTTTCCATGCATTTATTAGTCATCTCTCCTGGTGGCCTTGAACGCGATTGGTTGATTTTGTGTTTGTGTGTCCTTTATAAAGGATATCTCAGAAATCACTGAGAGACTCTTCAAACCTTTAGGAATTGACGTCACACACAAACCAACAAAATCACTTTACTCGGGTCTATGTCAACATTAGACTCAACAATGAAGGAAGATAAAACCAACATCATCTACAAAGTTAATTGTAGCAACTACGAAAAACACTACATTGGCCGAAGTGGACATCCCCTTTGTCTTCGTATTCAAGATCATAAACTAGCTATTGAAAAACATGATGATATCCACCCTCTGATATCTCTACATGCAAGCAAACACGGACATCAATTCGACTGGGACAGAGTTCAAATATCAGACAGAAAACACCAAAAATGCTAGAGAATTTTTAGAAGCCTGGTATTCCAGTGAATCATCAATCAATAAACACACTGACATGGACAAAATTTACCAATCGATAAGAAGGAAATCCCATACACAAAGGGTCAAAGTTCAAGTCAGGAAAAGAATCAGTACCAATACCGATACAAGTAACCTATAGGATGTGAAAACACAAAAACAACCAATCGTGTTCGAGGTCACCAGGAGAGATGATTAATAAACTCATGGAGAAATTCAAAAGATCACTTCACTACAAATTGAAGTATGCGTGCTGAAGATGTTGCCTAATAGGGTAACAAAGGCTTCGCAAATAAACTACCCAGCTCAGAGAACACAACTACATCAAAATCATCCACCTGGACTGCAAATCTTTTTCATCATATAAGTAAGTTGTGCTCGTCGTCAGTGGCTCAGTGACACAATTCTCGCAAACTATGCATGTGGATCAAAGTTCATATCTCGGCCAACACACACCCAAACTTCATTTAATTGGTTGTAAGCCCAGTATAGAAGGAAGGTTGGGCATTGGGTTAGCAACCCCACCTCGTAATCAAAAAAAGAACGCCATCGCTACTGAAGTGCAAGCTTGGAGCCCTATTTTCCAACTCAGAACGCAAAAGAACAAAATAAAAAGTAGAAAGTTGTGTTCGAAACTTCATTCAGTTTTCAATGCCGTATAACTTACTGCGTATTTGTTATAATAAATAAACTTATCTATTATGGAATCATATTCTACCACATAGTGCATAAATTCTACTCTTATATTATTGCATCCTTATTCATTTATGCTTTTTATAATTGAATTCAAATTAACAATTTTGTCGACACTTCTTTCCATTTGGGTATTTAACCCGTAAAATTATTTGATGCTGTTGCCCGTGCTTTTATGCTGACAAATTTGCCAAGGCGGGTTGGATGGTACTCAGCCTTATGGTTGTGTTCTGTGTGCATGCGCCTCGTCCTGGTAGTGTTTCATGCCTCACTAGTTTAGTGGTAGGAACCTCGCGGGCCACGCACATGACCCGAGTTCATTTTCTGACTGTCATTCTCTTTAACTTTGTCTAGTTTATTATCAGACAACCATCTGTCAGAAAAGAGGGGAGGTTGACCATGAAGCTGGTAATCCCAGCACGAAATAAATAAATACAATCGGTACTTGATAATCTTCAAAGGTAAAAGTATGAAGAGTTGTGTTCCACTTGGAGCTCATGGAATGATAAAGAAAATCATTCCTGCTATTTGTAATTTAATTCATGTTAAAAATTGCTTTTCATTTATTGTTTTCTTTTTTACTTACAGTTTGTGAATATTATTCCCATTATGAATGCTTAGATTTTGTTGCTGCTGATTGTAAACAATGCGCAATTTCTACATTGACTTCAGCACCTAAGGTAAGATGAACCAGCTATTTATTTATAATAAAATTTTGATTCTTCCATCGATGGATGATTGAACCGAAATGTTCATCCTCTGTGTTGACGTGTCGGCTCCTTGTGTGGATGCTTCGACGATGTCTAAGGATGAAGGTACTTCCAGATGATGAGTCCCTAATAGGGGGAAATGCGGATCCTAGATTCCACTGCTAGTCACCACCCATCAGATTACATGAACTAACTCTGTTGTCTCAAATTTTTATATTATTATTATTTGTTGTTGCTCAGATTATTTGTATTGGGAAATAACTCCTAAATTTTTAATGCTGACGGTTGTGACGTCTAGCTAAGTGGGTTGTATTAAGAAACTTGATCTTGAGGTGGCTTGGACACGAGTTGAGCATACAGAGCCACCGCTTCCTTTGATGAGCAATGTTTGTGGTTATGTTGGAAAATAGTTGGGAGTGGTCAAACCAAAACCTGGTATCAGTCCATGTGAAGTCTTTGTCAGTTAGCTGGTTTGAGCCACTAAGGGAGGCGTATACTGTCTGGTTTGGAACCTCAGGATACTAAAAACCAATGACTAGAAACTGTTGGTAACATAGCTTAAAACTGATCTCAGTGGCGTAGATGGATTTGCTCTTTGTAATCTGCCAGATCGATTAAATCATCGCATTTTCTCGTAAATTTCTGCTCATTGTAATTCTTTTGAATTTATTTCCTCTCTCTCTTTTGTTTATCTTCGTGGAAACTTGAACTGCTGCTCATCTGTACAGAGTTCTACGTTTAAACTCAATCAGTCATTCCTTTCAATAGTTAGGAAATTCTGATGAGTGGTACTGAATAATTCGAAACTTTGCTTCTATAATATAAAAATACATACTTCAGTCATTATTATTTCCCGTCCGAAGGAATAAACAAAAGTGAAAGCAGCTTAGATTACTCCACCAGAGGACAAAAATATAACCATATATCCATAAAGAGACTTAGGAATCCTAGTGACAACTGGATTTGACTCTATGTGTAAATAAGCTATGAGACAGAATTCTATAAGTTCACTAATGAGAAAAGACACAATCAGAAGAACAGATAACTTCCTTATGAAATTATTGAAACAAGCGTAAGGAACATGCACATGGTCCGGGGTTCGATCCCCTGCCGATGCACACCTGATATCTATGGTCGGCCTACAAAATTTGGGCTACCGATATCACATGCTGAAAATTACATACATGTACCAAAAATACTGGTGTGGAATCAAGCTGTAATCAAAAAATAAAATAATTACTTATAACAACAGAGGCGTTATGAATTCAACTATTGGAAAGTTATGCAGGTTATCAGATACCTCAGAGAACTATGCCTTGAATGTCCTATTAACATCCAGTTCAAGTCCACTGAGGAATTCTACGTAGAATAAAATAGCTTCACAATGAGGTTGTTTCTTGCTACTTTAGAAGCTGACGGTACTGACGTTTGCAATTTGTACGGAATATACTAACGCAAGATCTTATACCAATAACTTCTATAGTATTCGTTTCTCGTGGACCAAAGGCAAAGCAAAAGACACAATTGATCGTCCAAATTACGAGATATATTTCGGAACCAAATCGTGGGCTGAAGAGGAAGCTAAGCTGGATAGTGATCGTGCACGAAAGTGACACGACGGAGTACCAAATGGCGAAATGCTTGACCGGTAGCCTTCAGCTAAACAAGTCGACTTAAACACTAAGGGTCAGCATCCAATGTTCACTGATTATTCCTATGTTCAATAATTTTGTGGAATTATTTACCGCTACACTACAATACTCTGCGATTTTTCCACGATTAGTCATGAAAACAATGTCCCCAATACTCTGGTCAGTCAACTTCATGCTTGTAAAAATAATATGCGGGTGACAGCTTCATTTTGCCTAATACAGATTTCTATCTGGACAATCTCCTCGCTCAGCTCATCGTTGAATGGAGTTTATTCTGGAACGGAAATTAAACTTGACGTTTGCATTCTCGAGTGTTCTATTTATCCAAAGATCAAATAGTTCTATCAAGTGATCAATGTACTAATACCCAACATGAATTAGACAATTTATTAACTTCCAAAGCTCAGTTCAAATCACCGATGTTGTTAAGAATGTTTCTAAAGGTGAAGTACAATGGATATTAAACAGTATTTGACTGATTGTCTGGCTTAAAAGTGCAAGATATCTTATTACAGAATGGGTATCTTCCTAAATTTATTAACAATGATATGCAGGAGAAACTGCAGGCAAAAAAAGTCTTAGCCATCTCCGGGAAAACTCTTTTCATGAATATGGTGTCTGAAATTTAAATTGCAGCCGGAAATTCTCGAAATCTCTGAAGACATCTCAAGAAGCGACTCTAAAAATCAGAATATTCAGTGGGCTATTAAACCAGTATTGCACTAAGTAAGGAATAATGCTCCTAGTCACTCCAGTGCGCATTCACCAGTTTACTTGTTCCTGTGGAACAAAATTATTTTCCTGTATCCCTAGGGGAACATAAGGCGTCAAGCCTTGAAGTTTCACCAGCAGTCCTGTTGATTTTGTAGGGTGGGGGTGTACTCATCGTCTAGTAAGCTATCTGAGGTCCACGAGTTCGTTAGTCAGGACTGGGACGCTGACCATCCGAATGACTAGACAGTATTCTACAACTGGACAACTGATGTGCAAAACAGGGAGCAATGGAGAACTTTTTCCTGGTTCGGGACACTTCATGTGGGCGCACTCATTGCTCACCGGGGATCGAACCCAGCACCTTTAGATTACGAAACAACCCCACTGATCTTCCAGTCACTGGGACTTATCTCCAGGTCATATGTATTTATTTGATATAACATATAGTGATACGGTATTAACAACAGGATGAGGTTTTAAGCACAATTTACTACTCATAATTATGTCAGTGCATGTTCACACAATATTGTGACATGCATTATCAAGCCTTACTCTTTCTTTTTATTGCAATTTTCCATATATCCAGTGTAGGCGTTACATCATTTCTGTTAACATGTATTTTGTCAGTATTAATTCGTTAAACGAAGATTCAGTGATTAATACTGAATACTAGCAGTCGAAATAACTGCGCACCAATCCCAGAGTGGGGTAAGGCAGTATAAAACAAGTTAGGAAGTGATCTGAATACACTAATATGATTGTAAGCTATCAGTTTTACTTGGAATGTCACCCAGTTACTAACATTGTATCACTTACAGTGTGTTAAACCACGATACATGTATCTGATATGGAATTATATTCTACCATGTGAACCCCAAATTCTATTGCTACATTAACTGGGTGTAACATCTGAACTAGTTAATTGTTACGCAGATAACCTGGAGGCCTAGTGTTTGAATCCTTTCTCAACTAAGGTTATTATTATTATTATTACTTGAACCGTGATTATATATATTTTCTAAGTCTGTCTGTCTGTTTTCGACATTTTCGACACATGTGCGGCAGTTCAAGTCGCCACACTCACCACTTGTAGCACACAAAGCAAGAGAAGAAATTAGGAGAAATGCATAATAGAGACAGTAAACAGATGTGTGAGACAAAGCAATAGTAATAACGAAGAACAATATAGTTTCATTTGAAATCATAAGTCACAGGGAGTGGATGCGTCTCCGCCAGTAATTGAGAACGATTTTGAGCCATATCACCAATTGTTTCCAGTCATTGGTTTTACCGTCCCGAGGACCCCAACCAGACACGAAGTCTACACCTTCCTACGTGGCTTAAACTAACTGTTGTGGATTTCATTGACTGGTGCCAAGTTTTTGTTTGACCTCCGCTAGCTTTTTTCCAGCCTGACCCTATATCCGCTAACATTGCTCGTCGAGGAAGGCGATGGCTAGGCATACGTAACACATGTCCTAACCATCTGTCTTTGTATTTTCACAACTTCGTCGATTGATTTCCCCCGTTTACCTAGCACTCGACGCCTCACCTCAGTATTGCTCACCATCTTATGCCACTTCACACGGGAGATAGAACGCAGGCACTTATGATCAAAGACAGTCAATCTTTTCATGTCTTCCACTCTCAGTGGCTAGGTCTCACAGCTGACCATAAAGGAGGACGGAGCGGACCGCAGAGCAGTACACCCGCCCTTTGGTCGATAGTTGAATATCTCGTCTACGCCAGAGACGGCGTAAGCTGGCAAATGCGTAACGAGCCCCCTGTATCCATGCCGTGATTTCATCAGAGATCAACCCGTTGGGGCTGATGGTACTTCCAAAATAAGTGAAGCGGTCAACGTGCTCTACCACTTCACTTCCTATTTCTAAACTAGGCGTCGGTGGAGTCCAGTCCTGTAACATCATCTTGCATTTGGCGGGAGCGAATCGCATGCCAAACATTCGTAGATTGCAGCTGAAGGTGTTTAGAAGACTCTGCTTTTTGTCAGCGTCTTCGCCTAGAAGGACTATATCGTCTGCATATTCCAAGTCAACGAGATTATTCCCTGGTAGCAAGTCAATCCCTGAGTCGCTGAAGTCGCTTAGGGTTAAGTCCATTAGTACATCTATGATGAAGTTGAATAGAAAAGGGATAATGGGCATCCTTGACGGACACCACTGGTCGTCACCAGTTCAGATGACAGCTCGCCGTAAGCCCTCACCTGGCTGTATGAGTACGAGTAGAGTGCCTTAATCAGTGCAATGTATTTTCTCGGAATTCCCTTTACAGCCAAGCATCTCCAGAGAACCTCTCGATCGACAGAGTCGAATTCCGCCTTTAGGTCAAGAAATATAATGACTGTTGGACGCCGGTAGGAATGCCTATGTTCTAGAATCTGTCGGAGGGTGAAGATATGATCAATACACCCTCTTCCTGGTCTAAAGCCTGCCTGGCTCTCTCGTGTTTGTGCTTCCCGAGCACCACTCAGTCTACGCATGATTATTGAGCCTAAGACTTTAGATACTATATTAGTCAAGCTAATCCCTCTGTGATTATCACAGGAAGACTTGTCTCCCTTCTTGTATATGGGGATAATCAGTGACTTACACCAACCCGATGGGACTTCTTCTGATTCCCAGACGCTGCCTAGTACCTCAGTTAATGCAGACAGTAAACTGTCTCCACCGTACTTAAATACCTCTGGAGTCATTCCATCAGGTCCCGCTGCTTTGCCTAGTTTCAGATTGGTGACAGCTTTAGTAACCTCAGTTAAGGACGGAGGACCTGTGTCTATATCCCATTCAGGGAGGTGTTGGATGCTCGGAAGGTTGAGCGTGGCTGTGGGCCAATTAAACTGCTCCTCATAATGCTCTTTCCAACGATCCAGTCGTCTATCCTGGGAGCTAATTATAGTGCCATTTTTCTCCGAGATTGTCTCACTTATGATTTGTCTTCTCCCACCCGTTTCCCTGATGAGTCTAAAGAGTTGCCTGGTGTTGCCTATCCTCGAAGCTTTCTCCATCTCTTTGGCTTTTGTCACCCACCACTGTTCACGGTCCTTGCGGAGACTTTTCGTAAGTTTCCTTTTGTGCAGCTTTCGCTCCTCATTGAATTCGGAGCTCGCCGGAATAAGTCTTCTAGCATCTATCAGTTCGGATGAGGCGGTGGAGATCCAGTGGTTTTTACTCACCTTTGGGTTTACCTTATTCACAGCTTTTACAGCTGTATCTATGGCTGCCTGGATATTCTTCCAAGCTTCTTCAGGGTGAGCACAGCTGTCGAACACAGATATGTGTTTAGCTAGTTCTTCCTCAAATACGGATTTAGTTTCCTGATCGAGCTGGGGACGTGATGGTTTTACCGCCAGCTGTTTCCTACGTCCGTTCAGTCGTAAGCACACACGAGCGCGGACCAGTGCGTGGTCGGTATCTACACACGTGTTCCAGAAGGAGCGACAATCTCCTACCGACCCACGCCAACGATAGCTTATTGCTATGTGGTCTATTTGTGTCCAGCGTTGGTTTGATGAAGGGGGTCTCCAAGTCAAACAGTGTCTCTCCTTGTGTTTGAAGTTAGTGCTTACAAGAAACAAATGATTATCAGAACAGAACTGTAGGAGACGGTCACCGTTGTCGGTTCGCTGGCACGGAACTCCATAGGTGCCACCGACATCCTTCTCAGATTGACACAATTTCCCTACTTGAGCGTTAAAGTCACCAGCTAGAACGACTATGTCTGAGCGTTTAGCCTTTCTCACCAAACTAGACAGCTTTTGGTAGAACTCATCCTTCGTTTCATCTGAACTGCAGTCAGTGGGGGCGTAGGCGGAGATTACGAAAAGGCATCGGCGAGTAGTGCAGTCCTTTCTCCTTCTTACTGATCCGTTCAGACGGACAGCACACATTCGGCTATCTACCGGGATCCAGTCAAGCAATGTCTTTTCTGCCCTAGTACTCAAAGCTATCCCTACGCCAGCTAATCCTCGTGAACTAGCTGTGGCATCTCCTGACACCCTCAAGGTGAATTTTGCAGATTCAACCTGTTGGCCAGGTGGGGTTAGGTGAATAACCACACTTGGGTCTTGTATGCGTGTTTCTGAAACACAACATACATCAATGGCTTGGGATGCCAGGGTCTTGGCTAGTGATGCTTGTTGTCCTATTTGGCAAAGTGTCCTAACATTAAAGCTCCTATATGAAATTGGTGGCGCGGCTTTAGGAGGCTGTCGGTGGTGGTTTTTTGGCTTCCATCGTTTTTAGTGGACACAGAGTGGAGAGGAAGTGGAGAGCTATCAAGTCGAGGAGTTGCATCAGTGGAAGGAAGGCAAGATGATAGAGATGAAGATGAAGACAAAGATGAGTGAGTATTAGAGAGGTTTCGTGTGCATTTCGGATTGTGAGGGCGATTGTTACTTCCCGGCTGCCCACACCGTGGAAGTTGGTTGCGTGACCGCAGAGCCCAGGGGACAACTGCTTGAGGCCGGTCACACGCGGCCTGTTTTTGTTCGTTTTTTTGTTTTGGTGTGTCTCAGTAGCATATTTATCTCTCCTGCCCTGTGACACGGCAGCAGGAAGCGCGGTCGTTGTTAATCCGGGCCACGGCCGATCCGGCATGAAATTTTTTGATTTTGTTTGTATCATGATGTTGGATTGGGTAGCTGCTTTTTGTTTAACCGCTATCCAAACAACCTGCCTGGCATGGTAGATCTCAAGAGACATAAGTCTCAGCCAGTATAGCTTGATTAGGTCATTGCGGTGTTCAAGCCCGACCACCACGTCAAGGTAGCAGCTTTCGGTCGGGATATTTTCTAAGTAGTTTGCCTTTTTGAATTCTTTTTCTGTTTATATCTTCTAGTGTCCAACAAATATACCAGGAACAGTCGAAACAAGAAATTCTTATATGATGTCACGTTTACTAAGAAATTTTTCAAAATCTTATACATCAACTGATCCAAATGAATCAGCACTTGTCGATCTGACTACTGATAACAATGAACAGAGTAGTAAGTTGACAAGTAATACCACTGGCAATATATCAACAACAACTAGCACTAATACTGCCATAGCTATGATGAATGCTAGTGGTGTTGTAGGTGGGGGAGGCGTCACCAGTGCTATAAATACTCCAATAACTAGTTGTTCTACAACTAATACCTCCTCCTCTTCATCGTCATCATTAAGTCCACAGGCATTTCTAACCACCACACCGAAGACAACATCAGCACAATATTATTCTTCAGACACTACTGGTTTTGCCTTATTCGAAGTTACCAATTCGTTATCGTCAACCTCACCGACTATACTGAGCACAATGGCGATTGGTGAAGAACAAACTACTACTACTACTGGCAGTGCAAAACCAACAACAGTTGACACTTCTATATCGCCTTCCGTACCAGCATCATCCTCATCAACAACAGTACAGCAATCGCACCATTGGCGTGAAGGTAATTTACCAGTGAATTCAAAGTGTGCATCATGTCGTAAGACATGTTGGTCAGCTGAATGCTTAACTGGAATACGATGTGAATGGTGTGGAGTGACAGTAAGTGCTATTTTTTATTTCTGTTTAGCATCCCTTTGCATTCCGAGTTGAATATAGGGATTCAAGCTGCGAGGTTGGAATTTTCAGCAATGCTTGAAGGTGTTGTTTTCTTTCTACGGGATTAGATTGCTAAGCTCATATTGCACAAACTTGCCTGATTTCTGGTCTTACTAACGGCAAGGAGAGATTTAGCACTGCATGGGCCGCGTATCGAATACTGGACCATGCGCCTGACTGACGAATATTCTACCCCGGAATCATGAACGTACTTGTAAAAGTGTATACGAAATTCTGTTTCGTGTTTGATTTTTTATGTATTCCTTTCTGTAAGGAAACATCACTTTTAGCATGGATTTTGTTTTATACTTCATTAAAGTGCTTAACTGACTTGCTCCTGATGGGTTGTTTAATAGTATTCTAACTGTCAGATTTTCTTCGGAAATCAGTATCATTAGAGACATCATAGGCAACCAAGGGTGACTGGACAGCTGTTCTGTCCCAATTTGGGACTCTTCATCAGTGAGCACCCGTGAATCCTCCAAGGTTCGAATTCAGGACCTTCAGCTTATGAGGCCAACCTCGTTGTCCTCAAAAGACTGAGACGATCTGCCGTTGTTTAGATCACTTTGATTAGATGATATGAGTGGAATCCAACTACTCATACCTATCAGTGAGTAGTATATAGCATCATAAATTTATAAATTCTTTCCTGACCATATTTATAATAAGTCCCACTCCATATTTACAAACAACAAGCCTTTTGAAATTAAACGCTAAATTCAAAGTGGGTCTCATTGGGAAATGGGTATTAGCCAGAGGATAATTTTAAACCAATCAGCGCTGGTGAAGAGTCTTAAACTAAGAAAAAAATCATTAAATAGCTCTTACTTGTCAGTTTATAATAGGCTCGCCTTCAAATTAATCAATATTTTACACAACGGTTAAACTCTAAATGAAGAGTTAGGTTAAATTATAAGCCAGTGTAAAGACCAAAACTCAAACATTTCCGTCAGAACATAGGAACCACTGCATGCTTTCTTCAATGTGGTTCATCAATCTTTCGTGAGTGACAACAAGGTTAGAAACACACTTCGATGTGATCTGTAATGTCATTGAACAATAAAATATTATACCATAAATAGGAAACTACCTCAACAATACCATCCATCCAGCAGCTGTACAGTCCAAAAGTTTCTCAGGTACAAAATTCGTACTAAACAACAAAATTAACTGACACACAGTCACAAGTCACCCGTGCATCAATAAGAATATTCCTAACAAGATGCCATCAGCACTCTGTTCTTAAGAATCAAACAGACATAAAAAGTTCAAAGTTAGATAGTCATTCTACTGAGTAATCTTGAATTCACTCAAACAAAATTTCAGTCGAAAAACAACATATTGTTAACAGCGTGACACAGTGGCTAAAATAAAAAAAGCATTAATTCATTATTATTTTATCTCATTCTTTTGCGTTCCCAGTGGAACATAAGTGGTTTCAAGCTAGAGCATTGAAATTTCGGTAGCAGTGGTTTTATTTTGACGGGAAGGGGTAGCCAGTCTCACGCTCAACCTTCTGCCTTTGTCGGGCTTATTACCAACTAAGCGAGGTTTAGGAGTATGTAGACCGGGAATCGAACCGCAGGCTACGTGAGTGGCTGGCGAACATTCTAACTCTGCGCCACTGACACAAGAAAAGCATCAGAGCTAGGGAGGAACCAAGATCAAAGACAAATAATGAGGATAAAGTTAAAAGGAGATATGAAAATATTAGGACGATGATACTCAGGTCAGGGGAAAAGAGTAACTACTACAAAAATAGATTGTTCATGGACGAATATTCAAATCGGTTATTGGGCTACCACAAACAAAGATTATTGGTAATCATTTACCTCTGTTTTATTATTGCTCTTATTCATAGTTTTCATACTTGTAGCATATATCTATTAGTATTTCAGAAAATATTAAACACCTATAAGTCTCATATCATAGATGTTTCAGAGGGATACTGTTCCTTCTTCGGGTTGTTCTAGCTTGCAGAAGTTAAATATGTATTCACATAACGTAAATTTCCACTTTCCGCATCACAATAATTAGGAAATCATAAGTTATACAAATTGTCGTTGTCGTTTATCGATGGATAAACTTGACTTATAGTTGATTACAGCTGAATAATATAATAAAAATCGGAAAGCATATGGAATTTTGTGTACTGTATCAGGAAATATGTTTGCTTTTTAAGTGATTCTACTCTCTAAATGCCTAAGCTACGGGGTATATAGTATATAGCAACATTGATGTTCTGTCTTAAATAACACTGAATCAGTAATATCAGTAGACTACTGTTCAAAAAGCATATGTAGTGATAATGTATATCAGTACAACCAAACTGAATATTGAATGAATTAAGAAAATTAATACAAAATTTATGAATTTATAGGTTCCACAACAGTCCAGGGTAGTAACACTGACTGGACCTGTCTCTTTTGCAGGTAGAGCTACGGTTTTTTAAGCAATTTACAACTGCCTCCGCATTTTGGAGTGTTTAGTATCCAGTGGGCTTTGATAATTTATTCGATATCCGATAAATGATAGAAAAATAGACTCATCATTGGTAGCTTACTGGCTTTTTTAGACGAGGTGATCTTATATCCAACCCTTATTTAATCACACTGGTAGGTTTTACCGAACACGAAAAATTAAGTTCTTAGAGCAATTATATATGTCCAAACCAAGTTCACTTTTAACGGTTTGAAAAAATTTGGGCATTGGGTATATGCTATTCATTATAATAGAGGTTTTTGTATTTCCCAATGAATGAAAAACAAAACGAGATTGTTTTTACTGACGTTTCGCTATTTAATGCTAATAGCTTTCTCAAAGTATTATTAAACCGGAATTTACAAATCTCAGCATATATATAACAAAGAGTTAGGGGGTGAGAAAAGGACATATTGAAAGTCAAAATAACAATGAAGATCGTTCAAACCAAATATCGAAGGTAATAGTATATCTGTTATTATATCAAAATAAAATTTACTAACTTGATCATTGTTCGTTAGTCTGGGATCATTTAGGTTGTCAAGTTGGAGAATAGGTAAAGGTAATCAAACTAAGTGTAGGTTGTGAAATACTTGATTATCGTTCGTCAGTCTGGAGCAATTGTCAATATAACTGGCTCCATAGGAGCAACCGAATTGACATATCCAGTTAGAGATGGTTAGCTTAGCTACTTCGCTCTTCAGTTTCATAGGAGCAAGTGAATTTATATACACACATCGAAGTAATACAAATCAGAAGTTTGTCATTCAAACAACCACTGATCATTCGCCAACTGTAGAAGTATTTCTCACTGATCTGGATAAACGATTCTTTAGAATTTCAGTTTCGATATCCCCTTTAAATTCAGCATTCATAAACTGCGATTTCTTCGACACCGTCTGGATACTTTCAGGATTTGATTTGCTTTCATGTTTTTCTAAATGAATCTGTAACAACAGTAGACAAGGGACAGGCAACAGATCGTTTATTTAGCAAATCAACACATATTTATAGATTTTCATGAACATATATAAATTATTGTTGGTTGAAAAACACAGTCTTCTGATTGGTTTTTTCTCACTGAAAGTTAATCTTTCATCTCTTTGTGGCTGTTTTTTGAATGTCAGCTCATCTATATGTTAACTGTATCCGCCTACGCAAAGCCTTTGTTCTCATTTTTCTCACGACCAATATTGGGGACATAAACATTGACGTAAATTACTGTTCACCAATTTTGGCTAACAGCCAGCTGTCACCACAAATCTTTTATGATATTCATTTTCAATGAAGACTTTTCTGAGTCGTTCCAGTTAGTTCATCATCGACTGTATGTATCACTGTGGCGTATTCTTCTAATTTTTAAATAAGACACAAATATCCAGCATTTGAAGATGACTACGTTGATAAGGAAAATTTTCTCCTCTGAATAGTCTTTGATTTGCTTCATGTGTATTTCTCAATGTTCCACTGTTTTACTTTTGAACTATACTGAGTGTATTTCATTATTATTACTATTATTATTTTAACTAAAGGCGCATTATTCATGTCATAAGAATATACCACCAGAATGTGATTTTGGTGTCCTAAGAAATATAGTGCTTCCACCATATTGTGTATCAGTGCCTCGGACAAGTCTGCTAGTTGAACAAATAATTGGTATGTGTAGACCTCAACCGGAAACATTAATGGGAGGTAGGTTCAACCTTTTATCCATAGGAATTATAATTCATTTCTTTATGTTTACTATATCTCTAGATTAAGTGTACAGAGTGTTAGGTATTATCGGTAAGTTCAGCGATGAGGTCGTGCATCTTCATTAGCTGACACCTATTAGCCTCAGTCTTCTTGACTTGATTGTCTGAGAGGTGGTGGTTGAACACTGTGGAAGAGTCTCAGTTTAAGACAAATGTCTGTCCAGGACTCCTTAGCTTCCTGCCATTCTGTAACTTATAACCAGTCGTTACAAAACCCACATACAAATAATTATTTTACATAGAAAGAATATACCTGATGTATATCCTTCACTTGTTTAGGCAGGATTATCTCATCTGCAGATGACGGGATGGCTGAGGATTTCAAAACCACCCAGAATAAGAAAGGCGATTCAAACTGTCATCACTCTGAAATCAGCATGGGAATCTCCAGCACTCAACGTTACGATTTTCAACAGCAATATTAAGTTAGTCAGTTACTCTACATGAGTCAGAGACTTAGCGGACGCGCTACCGAAATCATTTCCAACGGACGACTGCAGACTGTAATCAACAACTGCCTTTGCCGGCTCCATATTGAAGATAAGTGGCCAGAAGGGATCCACAACAAGGAACTCTGGGAAGTGACTAACTAATGACCTACTGCTCGACAAATATTCAGAGTAAAACGGAAACGGACTGAACAGACACTGAGGAGAGTGTTGGGAAGTGTCTCGCGCAAGGCCATCACCCGTATGGAATGTGAATAGGGAACAGGAAGTTAGGTGCGGGTCCAAGAGTGACGTGGAGGTGATAGGGCAAGGAGATAAAAGTCTATCGGTAGTCATGGAGGTAGCTAAAAAGTAATTCAGAGAACAAAGTGAAATGCAGATGTGCTGTCGAAGCCCTGTGTTGCACTCAGAACCAAAGGGAATAACATATATTAACAATGGTAACTATTAAAATGATATATATTTCGGCTAACGTATATATTTTCTAGATTCGGATCAAGCGTTTTTACATTATGCGACAGACAAAAATAGAAGGGTATAGTAAATTTCCTTTTTCTGAAAAAATCTACCTTGAAACTGGGTGGATCTCTACAAACCCGGTGCCACTGACATAATAAGTGACTTTAAAATAAACAAATTAACCTGGGAAAAAGAAAAGCTGTAGGAGATACTGCTGATGAATGCATTATGGAAATGTTTCTAGGTTTCAGTATGGACACGGATGTTTCACCTTTGAGTAAATACAACACAGTTTATGTGATTTTTAGTGATGTTATGTTACTAATAACGGCTATGCCTTAGTTTAAGAATATGAAGTGAAATGGTTAAGCATGTTGACGACTTCAATTATTTAGAAATTTGTATCAGCTCTGTTGAACTGATCAGTGACGAAATCTCAGCTTCGATACAAAAAGATTATCGAACTTTTGTTAGTATCCATTATCCAACTATTCACAAAAGGACGTATGTACTGAGAAACAGTTATCACAGTCCTTGCTTACAGCAGCAAAACATAGTCTTCTTGGACTGCGGGTGTTTGCGTTCTATCTTCCATGTTATCATATAATGTATTCAATGGTATCGGGGTTAAGCATAGAGAGTTAGATAAAGAGGGCAAGTCGGTTCATAAGGTTATTAATCTAGATCGACTGGGATGTCTAAGATATGTGTTAAGCTGAGATTGCGTCAGCATCCACTCTTTTAGGGTTGATTCAACTCCTCTAATAAGTGAAGCGGTCAACATGCCCTACTATTTGACTGCCTGTTTTTAAACAAGGATCCAGTGCACACCATCCCTGCAGCATTTTTTTTTACATCTGATAGGTGTAAATCATATGCCAAAAATACTAAGATTTCTGCTAAAGGTGTACACTAGACTGTGCGTGTTGTCAACATCTTCACCTAGAAGGGAATCACGTGCATATTTTAAATTGATAAGAGTGTACCTTGGTAACAAGTCAATCTCTGAGTAGCTAAGTTTGGCCACAATAACATTCATAAATAGATCTCCCTTGAAATTACATAAAGATTAATACTTTGGAATCTCTCACGGACACCTCTAGTTTCCTTTGCTTCAGGTAACGTCTTTCATAAGCTCTTATATGACTAAATGAGGTGAAGTAGAGTACCTCAGTCAGTGCGATGTACTTTCTCAACACTCTCTCCATGATCAGACATCTCACCAGTCTTTCACGGTCGATGGAGTGAAATTCCAACTTCAGGTTAAAGAATTTGCCGAGTGTTGGGCGCTGATAAGTAGGCCTATGTACTAGAATCCGTCGAAGGGCGAGGTTTATGATCAAAACATCCGATGGGTGAAATGATTTCCACATAGGCCATTCACTAGCTGAAACAAAAGGCAGACAGACGAAACTCCATCTAATGCGAGGTAGGGAGTATCACTTATTCTAACCATCTGTGATCATTTTTTTCGGGGATCCCAAAACTCTCAATAAAATGTCGTTGTGGTTACTATGTAAGACTATATATATTTAATGAAATGACTAAAACAGAATTCGAACTATTCTTCGTAGTTTACCACTTCACGCTTAACAGTCTGCATTCCACTTCGCATTCCTTGCGTAAAAAAGTAAAAGGATCCTAGGGACATACTTCTCGAGATCATCAATCAATTGACCTTCTGGTCATTGCTAACGATTTTCTATAGACTCACCTCAGTTTATTTTCTAATCTGCATAGCAATATCAAGTGTTATTTTACATGAATTTAACTGATTTCAAGTTAGAACGCGAACTGACACTCGTTATAGAGCCACTGGAAATTGGACAGTACTGGAAAACTGTTTTATTCTAGTTCCTGACTCTTCAGCAGTGGACACCCAAGATCCCACTGGAGATCGAGCTCAGGCGAGGATGGGATTGGATCTAGGACCTTCAGGTTATGAGATGACCCCGTCAACCATCAGGTCAGTGGGGTCTTCAAAAAGTGTATAATACTGAACACCACGATAGACTGTCCACTTCTCAGTGGTTCTCTAACTGAAGTTGACGATATTAATTGATGATTGACCTGATCATATTAGATAACTGGAGGCAATCAACGGGAAGCCTTGATGATTGACCTCTTGGTTTTCATTTTTTGTGGATCTTTGACAAGCAAAAATAGATAGATAGACTATGTCTTAACAGTCAGATGAGTAGTGATGTCAACTTTGAATATTCGCACATGCAGACACTATTCATGAATATCGATTTTGAATTTTGATAATGTCTATCCCTTCATGCAAATATCCTACTAATCACTAAGTTTGTTCCATAAATACACAATATCGAATATTTTCTTTCAGTTTGCATCTCTTCTAATCATTTTGTTCCTCCTCTTCTCTATTTACCAGTTCAAGCTCTCACCGATGAATTTTCAAGTAATGGAGATAGTCCAGAAGAATCTGGTATAGAACGAAAATCAACCAAAGATAAATCAGATCGAGATTTTGACGGTAAGTACAATTTTTCTATTTATTTCAGTAGTTTATTTGAACTACTTAAATAAAAAGCAAGTAGTAAGATTAGAAAGTATAAAGATTAACATAGATAGTAGCCTTCATAAATAATTTCATCTCAACATTTAACTGAAGTATGTATAATGCAGGAACTTGTACATTTTCAATCAGTAAAATAGAAGAATTGCATTCTTATGCAATATATTATATTGCCGTCCATTTAGAAGTTCATAATACCAATAACCACATTTTTTCGTTTTCAGATTATGTTCGTGTTTATGATGGTTGGGGTCGATTTAGAAAGAAACAATGTCGTTATCTAAGTCTTGGTCGTAGCGTATCAGTTCTAAAAGTGATTGAATTATCATTGAAAGCTTTTCAATTGCCATCAGATGAAGCTAGAGATTATTATCTTGTTGAAGTCAATGAAAAAGGTAAAATTGTGTAGATTATTATTTTCTTGTACTGAATTTTCATAGAATTGTAGCCTTATTCCTTTAACACACTTTTCTCATGGATCTTCAAACTTTTAGCTGTCATTGGCGGTGATAATTGTTTTACGAGGTAGAGTTGCTAGTCTCGCATCCAACCCTCTTCCTTTTTCGGGCTTATTACCGGCTAGGTAAGTGTTTAGGAGTGAGGGGTGTCGGCAAGGAATCGAACCCGTCCCACCTGCGTTGTTCCCGATCATTCTACTATCGAAACATCGGTTGTGCTTTTAAGATGTATATATATATATATAGTTTTCCACCGAAATTGTATCACTCATATGCTGTTGTTTAGATACATATGACTAATTGATTTTTAGGGGGTAAAAACGACGACAGAAGTTATGACCAGTTCATTTGTGGAGATTAGTTACAGATTATTACATAATCAGTACTATGCAGGATAGTAATAAATAAAAGGAATAAATGAAACAATTAGTAAATAATTATATGAGAACTCATAACAGCGCTTGTACTACTAAAGTACTACTGAAGTCATTTGTTCCCCTCAGAATACAGAGAATGAATAATTACCAAGATCCGAGTAGACGAGTTGAATTAGCTAGAATATTATTCATAACAAAATAACAGTGATAACAGTGTCGAATTGTCTTGCCACCGTGGTCTGTGAATAAAAATTCATCAGTACAAATTGTTGTCACATTTATAGGAAAGTACATATAAAAGTAGAGAAACGAAATACAATATATGTGAAACAAAATCACGTGAAGCCATTCACGTGATCCTGGGTTGCTGACGCATTCTGAAACCTCGATTAGCCAGTTGTAAGCCTTGTAAAGAGGAAATGTTGGACGTGAGGCTACTGCTACTGAAATATCAAGGCTGTGGAAGCTTGAAGCCCTGTGCCATACATCTGAGCGCAAAGGAATAAAAAAGCTAACATTTCATAAATCTGAAAGACGACATTATAGTGAATACTTCTATGCTACTGAGGAAGATTTATCGATCTGTGTCACAGAGAGTCTCCGATTACTGATTATCAGTGTCTCAAGTAACCTAACCAAGACGGTTCGCCTATGGCTCAAATCAAAGATCATTGAGTGCATAGATTGGTGCTATGTTTTGGTAGCTGCCAACGAAATCATCTGATCACTGATCAGTAGAATTAATAATTCAAAATATATTTTATAGAATTTAACATAATTAAACATTTCATTATCATTCCTATTACTGTTGTTATTAATATTTAGATTATAGGATTTGTAGGGATTCGGATTCATTTTTTTTCAATTGTCAAATTTCTTCATGAACCAAAGTTAGTTAAAGAGATCATTGAATACCCCCAGAGAGTACTGGACAGATGTTTCGTCCTATTTTGGGACTCTTCATCAGTTAGGATCCACAGGTCATTGAATCGCTGACCAAGTGGCTGAATAGTCAGCAGGCTGGGCCGCGTAACCTGAACGCCCTGGGTTCGATCCTTTGTGAGGTCATGAGTGCACACTACTGAAGAGTCCCAAAACGGGACGGAACGTCTGTTCAGTGCTTCCTGGTTTTCAATGACGGAACCTAACAAGCGAAATCGGGTTACTACTATTATTATTCAAGTCACTCTTATATCTTCCTGCGACTCTGCTTTCTTGTATTTTGCTTTTTATAATATTTGCCATCCAATGTGTTTACTTTTCCCGTTGACTCAGTTGCTTGCCTTTTTCGCATTTTCTTAACATTAGACGGGAGTGAACATAGATTGCATAGTTCTGGTTGTTTTAAATCTCAGCTACAATTTGAAACACGTAGACCACAAATTCTTTTACGTTCTCGTGATCGTAATCAAGACCGTGAATATATTCAAACTTTTCCAGGAACATTGGAGTAAGTCTTGTTATTGTCGTTGTCGTTGTCATCGTCCTTTCTTCATCACTGTGTTGCATTATTTGCCTTTTTTTACTCCGATAACCATCGTTGTCACAAAACATTACTTTTATGTGAAAAATTTGAGGTCGATTTAGAAAAAAAAACTGATGTCCAAGGTAGATTTTGTCACAAATCATTAGAAAGCAAAAGCCACTGGAATGCTCTGTCTTCTTAGTCTAGGACATCCCAGAGATTGAATACATCATCTTCAGATTACTGGGGGACTAGACTACAATTCCTCCGGTGCTCTGGAATTGAATAACCCTGGGATTTGAACTTTTGTCAATTTGTTATACAGCAGCTGTACCATCGGCGAGTGTTCGCCTCCATACTCCAATTGATGGTCCCTTTCAGGTCATGACTTGTCATTAAAACTTCAAACATTTTATGTCACAGTCACTGGGAGGATCATAACTGCTATCTGCACATGGTTGTTGAACCAAGACGATACAGTTTTCCAATGTTCTCTGGTTTTCAGAAGTCATTTTAATCATTCCATACTTTTTTAATTTTCTATGCTTCGACAACCGAATTTATTGAAATAAGCTAGTTTGACATGTGTATTTTGCATGGCAGTTACTGCGTGTTATGTACTACATTGTCTGTAGATTAGGTGTGAAACCTAAATGTCATCTTAATCACGGTTTTATTATTATTATTATCAATATTTATTAACATTCCATTGGGTTCCGAATGCACTACAGGACTTCAGTAGCACATTCCCATTTCACTTTGTTCTCTGTGATCCGTTTTGGTTGGCTTCACGATCACTAATAAGCCTTCATTTCCTTATCATATGATCTCTTACATGTCACACAATTCGTTGCTTTCCACTCGGATTCTGCTTGAGGACCTGACGCTTGATTTCCCTATCGGTTTCTTAAGAGAATGTCGGATTAATCTCTATTTTCTTCAGCATATTTGCTGAGTAACAGATTCTTGGTTGGTTCGTCTCCGGGGTGCTTTTTTGTTTGCTCATCCTTTCCATTTGGTCATCTGATCTCTAGCATGGAGCAGAGATAGCTGTTAATAAAAGTCGGCAGGTTGTTGGAAATTCTTTTCGTGACATTCCAAGTCTGAACCATATGGAAGTAGTGATTTGACATTAGTGTTGTAAATCTGAATCTTGCCCATCATGCTGAGTGTAGTAGGATGTTAATACTTATTCTAGGGGATTGGTGTTCAATGGCAATTCTGTGGCTGTCAGTGCTGCCGTTTCAAGAATCTTATGGAATGATTAGCCCATTGTTTCCTTTGTTTTTACACTTTAGTAATTAGATTTTCTTAACTATATTTCATTGGTCCCATCTGTTTTGATCTTTTCCCCGATAAAGACCTGTTTATCTGATGTAATGTTCTGGGATGTCTTCTAAGTCTTTTCTGTATGATGGAGAAGATTTGTAGCTCAAGTGGATGATTTTGATGTCGTTGTGTTCTCTTAGTTGGATGGTTTATTTGCGAAGCTTTCATCGCCCTACTAGGCGATATCTTCAGCACATACTTCAATTTGAAGTGAACTTTTAGATTTCTTCACGAGTTTATTAGTCATCTCTCCTGGTGACAATCACCCTCTAGGCTACTTGTTTTCTGTTTTGCTTTTGTCGCCAATTTGTCGTGAAAATTATCTCTCGTCTTTCCTATCACTCTTCTTCACTACTTTATTTAGTGTGCTGTAGATTGAAATCAGCTTCTCCTTTTATTGTTCTTCTTTGCTGTGCTAATATCCGTATCTGCTTTATTGCAGTCACAGTATCCATAGAGAGAAATTCCTCGTCTTGACTGTCCACTTTACTTAGTAACGTGCTATTTAGATTTGTAGGCAAATTATTCAGTTACATTAACATAACATAAGTATGTTAAAATACATGTATTTGTTTGTATATAATTCTTTTAAACCTGGAGGTGATGATGGCCAAAAAAAGTGGTTCTGATAATGTCATCACTTCAATTAAGGCTTTTGTTCTGTATGTAGACTATAGGTTAAAATTATGCCCCCTTGCCTCCTCCTTTTGTTATTCCAGTATTATTGAACACCATCGTCTAGTCGCTTTGTCTATTGCCTCAACTAGTAACGTGAATTCAGATTTTATCCTAGAAACTATATCGATGAAACAAAAAATACTTGAGAAAGTTCTGAAATCATACAATTGAGAAGATTTGAAGCTAGAGGGGATTTTTTTTAGTATGGCTGTCTACTGTGAGCTGGTTAATTGCATTTAGAATATTTAATTAATATTTAATTCCAGACAACATCTCAAGCAACCTCGACGTTGTATAGAAGCACAGTGAATGCTTCTCAACTGAATCATCCTGCTCGGAGTACACGGGAACTCCAGCAATTCAACTGAACTGTGAGGTCACATTCCTCTCTTCAAACTTAATAAGTCCGTTAAAATAGATTTTAGGAGGAGAAACACTACAATTTATCTGTATACCATCTATTTGTATATATTCTTCTTAGATATAATAATCATTTTAATTGAAATATATTATTTTTTCCAGTCAATTCACAGATGTTGAATTATTGCCTATACAAATCTCAGTGACACGTGACACCACAGTTCATGATGTCATTGTTCAAGCTTTGAAAAGATTTGGACTTGAGGTAGGTTAATTGTTTACTCATGTATTGTCTGCTTTCACAGTTAATTTTATGACAAATGCATTAAAAACTGTATGGCTTTGATAAACTTATTTTTGTCACTGCGTATCTTAATTCTCAAATTCCACTTTTTCAATTATAATGTATGACTACTATTAAACAATTAAGTAGTTAAAGTTTTTCGTGAAATTGTGTACACTGCTTAAGAACTAGTTATCACACCAAGATAATTGAAATACTTAAGCGTTACAAATGATAAAGACGATTATCCTGCAGAATTTTTTTTCAAATAGCAGTATATTTTTACGGATATGGCTTAATATGTGAATTAGACTAGAATTTGCTTCATTTGGCTTTCGACAAGAAGTTATGATGGGTTGGATTGCACTATGTTCGCTTTGGCCTGTAACAGTTTAAAAGTTCCCAAATCGGTTAACTTTACGTGTCATGTAGTCTTATTCTATGAGCTAGGGCGATATACGTAGCGAAATAACCACAAGGAAGCTAAGAGAATCACTCTAAAGGACTTTCAAAGCTGGAAAACTACAAGCCTCATTTTCAAGACGACCGATGCTGATTCCTCAGGTGAAAGATGAAGTGCTTAGATTAGCCACTTCTAATTGTATCTACCAACTCAAATGCACTTGTGAAGTGAGTTATATTGCCCGTTGCTCCATGGACTTGAATCTTTTTGCTCGTGAATATTTACCAGTGTCGTTAAATAAAGTTGTAGTGAAAACCATCAACAGTTCTATATTAGAATACCTGATCCAAACTGGCCACAAATCTGATATTGAAGAAACCTTATCCGTCATCTACCTGGTACCAAGAACATCCAGGTGCCTTATACTCCAAACAGCAGAGACTATAGCGATTCACCACAAACAGCGCGTTCTCTGTGTGCAGAAGAAGCAAGTCCAACCATTACGACTACCTTGGCCTTCAGTAGAGAGTATTACTTCATGTATTTCTGTTATTTATTGTCTTTCCTAATTTTTCTGATACTCAGTATATGGTTATGCTGATGCTATTGAACTGTTATCTGTTGATATTATTATTGATTCGATGTTATTTAAGCAACATTATTGTTGTTAATAACGCCAATTCATTCACTATTATGTATTATTATTATTTTGTATTATTAGAACCTGATGAAGAGCAGGTTATCGAAAATGTGAATATTCTTTATTCAATAAACATTCCTCTGAGTATTAATTTAGTCATTTGTAAATTATACAGTTTGCAATGAGAAATGAGCACATTTTCCTTTGGGAATCCAGAATATTCAGATCACAATATGTGATCCACCCGATTCCATGGATGACAATCATCAAAGCAAGCGATTTAACGCGATGCTACACACTGCTGAGAAAAACGTGTAGTTCGAAAGTATTCATGTCAAACACTAGTGCTTGCAAGCTAAATCTAAGTGACCTTAGTACTGGCAGAGACTATTTCGCTCGTTTGATGCCAAGCTTGTCAGTGGTTTACCCAGCTTGACTCAGTTTACAGAGTCAAATCAGTTTACATTATGCATAGAATAAGGTTGATTTCTCGAAGCCAATAATTATTCTACTAGTGGGAAATCACAATTCCTCAAAAATTTCATCTGTCCATAATAACCTAATATAGTTAGAATCAATTTTATTCTTTCTAAATTTTTTGTCTAGTTTGGCCCCCTAAAAATTGATTAATCTGTCTATTAATTGATTGTATTACTTACACTTACTGTGTCAACCGATAGTTGCTATTCTGATGCGGTACTAGACTTGCACATCTCAATAATCCAGAGATATATACTAGCCCAAGCGATATTCATGTTTTTGTTTATATGTCAGAAACGTTGGATGTACAGTTCCTAGAATAAATGCCGTTACATCCATAGTATATATTGTGTACAATATGGTTGGAATTTGAGGAAGAATTTATGATGAAGACTCAGACGGATGTGGTAGCAATAAATTGTTTCCCTCAGAAGACCAGCAAGTCTGATATACTTTTGGCTCTTGGTGAGTAGAGACGGTAAACGTTGGTTCCGAAAATTGTTAACTCCGATTTCTCTGTGGTGACCCATAACCAACAGTATGGCTTTTTCTGTGGATAAAACTTTAGGAATTCCATCAGCTCAACATAGGTTACATGTGATCAGCATCAAACAGTTGTCCACCAGTCTATTCGACTATGCAGAATTAAGCCTTATTTACTTTCAGGTACTAAAAGAAGAAACCAACTTACTCTGGTATGGACAGCCAACAACTACCAGCCACTCCACTCAAACTCTTCCATAAATGCACTGAGTCACATTAACCAATCGGTAGTGTTTGATTTGCAAAGAAAATAATTTAGTGAAGATGTAGTAATAGGTTTACCGTAACAAAAGGTAGTCAGTGAGTGGAGGTTCCTCCCCTGAAACCTAACCCAATTACACTATCCTTCACTGGGATGCAGGTAGATTCAGTTGATGATTCCCAAACAGGATGAAAAATAGCTGTAAACTAAAGTAGGACAAAACGAAACTACCCAGTAAAAGCATTATAGACCTTGAGCAACCAATTTGTGCGTCAGTGGCACAGTGGTTAGGACTGTCGCCGACCATGACCATGGTCCGGGGTCCGAGCCCACGCCGACGCACACCTGATATCTATGGTCGGCCTGCGAATTTCGGGCTACCTATATCCACGCTGAAAATTCCACACTTGTACCAAAAATACAGTGTGGAATCAAGCTGTAATCAAAAATAAAAAATAAAAAAAAATAAAAATAAAGACACCTAAAAAGAGGGTCGTAGAGGTGAATCGGTCGGCAAACACGATGATATACAGTTGTCTTGACAAATTTATGCACAGAAATTGGTGCATGTTACGCAAACCGAATATTTTGGTTCAGTAAAGCCAATCAGTGGAAAATTCAGAAGTTTTAATAGATTTTTGAATATTTTACAATGAACAGTAAAAACATCCAACTTGGAATTAAAGCTGAGTGAATGAAGCTCATTGTTCTTTGAATGTCTTCTTCAACAACTAAAATATATCCTCATTAGATAAGTTTATTTGATATAACACTCTGTGATACACTAGTTGTTAATGGACTAGCCTCGTAATCTGAAGGTTCTAAACTGAATCCCTGGTAGAGTCATGCGTGCTCATTGTTGAAGAGTCCCAAACAAAGACGGAAAATCTGTTAAGTGCTCTTTGGCCTACACAGTTATTAATACTCTATCATCATTGTGTGTTGTATCACATAAACCTGTATATATAGTGCCCATATCTTACTCTTATATAAAAACATATCCTGTCTTACAATTTTTAGCATTTAGATCCAGGAAGATTTCAACTTGTTGAAACAAACTTAGACCGTGGACTTATTGAAAGAGTTATGTCACCAGGTGAACGTCTATGGACAATATTAGAACGTGTGAAACGTGAATCTGTACGTGCATTACGCCTGACAAGATTTTATTTACAACCAATTGAAGAATCAAAAGGTCCTGTTGTTACATTGTTTGTTGGTAATTTAAAGAAAGGCTTAAGTCAACGTTTGTATGAACGTATCCTGTTAGAAAAGTTGGGAGCTGAGAATAAATGGGATTTTATTGGTGAGTTTTAAGTGTATCATATCTCTTATTACAAATATAAAACTAATAGAATTAAACATGGAATTATGAATAGTGACATCTATCTTCATAAATGTTATTGTGAATCAGTTTACTTGAAGAGCTATGAAGTGTTTTGGCTTAGTTGCACTATATCGTGACTATCGTTAAGTGTTGAAAATCACTCCTGGCTGACTAAATTCCAACGCATTGACTGAGGAGTCATGTATTTAATTCAAAGCCCAAAGATCCTCCTCTCATCACATATATTTTGATGGATTTGAACTATGGCAAGACAGTTAACTTAGTGGCAGTAGTATTGTGGTGAGATCAGGCTGCTAGCCAATTAGTAGACATTAATCTACGTCAATGTCTAGGTCACTAATATTGGCCGTGGGAAAATATGAACAAGGCTGATTCAACAACCAATCACAGCAGACTTAACGTGGGCAAATATGATTCGCAGATAGATGGCTCCACTTTCCGAGAAACCAGAAACAACCAATAAGAAGACTGCGTTTGTCTGCTCGAATAAGCTATAATAGTGTACATGAAATATATATAAATACGTGCTGATTTCCGTAATAAAAGGATCTGTTGCCGGCCCTTGTCTTCTGTTGTTACAGTATTAGTAGTAGTTGAACCTCAGAAAGAATTTAAGTACCAATGTAGATTACGTCACGAACTAACATATCAGTTAGAAAATCATTGAACTGAGTGGTTTCATTAACCTTTATACGATAAGTGTGCATATTGGTTTGGTAAATGAATTGTTCGTTCGTCATGATCTTCAATTTGCGGTCAAATTCTAGAGCCGTTTTTAATTAATCCTCGTACTACTAGTACTTATTTAGAACAATACATTTAATCGAACAATATTGTTTTCAATTAGATCTCATTAAGCTTAACTCTAATATACATAAGTTTACAAATAAAAATTCAAATCTAAACCAATCATGGTCTTTTGTCTATAGGATAATAAGATGGCGAATATAAATTTTGCAATTAGTCATAATAGTAGTAATAATAATATTAATGATAATAATAGTAATAATAATGGTCTTATCAATAATAAGGATGAAAAAGTGAGGCAATCTGTGATAACACGAATAATGAAAAAAACAGCATGATTAAACAAACAATTGTTCAGGTGGAAGTAGTCGATAAAGGCTAGTAAAAACAAATGAACCAATTAAGTAATGCTAGATTGTAAGGGAAGTAAATGAGACACGTTTATAATACAGATGTGATAAGATTAAAGGATGATAAGAAAGGGGTTGAAAATATAAACAAGGGGTGGTGTAGAAGCCATCAGTTGGTTATGTCTTAATAAGCCACCAAGAGAGGGATAATGGATGTACGAACTTCTTTTGAATGCATAGTTTAGGTTTAATAGTTCGAGTGCCTATCGCCTCAGCTGTGTGCAGTAGACGAATACGAAGTTTATTGGAAAGATTCGTTAGGATACGATGAATTACTTTGAAGGCTCTCTTTTTCTCCACTACATGACCACTTTCGTGAAGGACTTATTTATCTAAATGCAAAATTACTAAAATTTCAGCATCAAGAGATACTCTGGACAAAAGTAATAAAACAGCAATAGAAAGGAAAATTGAATTTAAGTAAATGGGAGACAGTGTCAAGAAAACAAGTACGCCTACTTATCGAGAATATTCAAAGGATTGTTCATTGTTTCATGTTACTTTCAGAGAAGGAAGAAAGGAGGAAATTGTAGCACGTTCATCTTTGATTTACGATTCTCAGCTATATCTGATGATATCTCGAGCTACTGATTTGAACCACCACTCTGACCTTATACAGGGAGTTGTGATGCACCAAAAGATGTTAACTTAACAGATCTATAATTCATCCCACGACACCACACCATAGGTTGATTAACCCCCACTTTTTCCACCAAATTCAAGGGCTATTAAACAGTGAACAGTATGGAAGCCTCTGGGGTGATTTTCGTAGTACAAAGTCCCGTGATTCCAAGATTACATTACTCATTGTAAGGCGACCTCCATAGTGTCTGACCACACACTGAAGAGTCACCTCACTTCCTCAACTCTGAGAGACAAGGTTTCACAGTTTTAAATCGAGACTGTACTCACTGAAGCACTGCAAAACCCGATCTTTGACGGCCAGTCTAGTGTTGTGACGTCATCAGGGGTGATCCAGGTTAGCGTATGTCACCTACACTCACGATGGTTAATACAGGTAAAAGCTCATCTTCCTGAGTAACTTCTTAAGTTAGTACATATATTACATTCATTTGTTTGATCTAATGCTTTTATTTTATTTTACTATTATTATTTTTTCCTATAGAAGTGATATATTACGACTTTGGCAGTCTCGTATTAGTTTATTTGAATGCAGAACGTGCAGATGAAGCATATCATATATTGAAACAGAGTACATTTGAAGATCGTCCAATTCTAGCTATGATATTGCCAAGGCTTAAACCAGCTAAATTACCAGATGATATAAAACCCTTACTAGTATTAGTCAATGTGAAATCAGGTGGATGCCAGGTAAGCTTTCTAGACAGTGTTATTATTATTATTACTCATATAGACTTTGCTTTCTCTTGTGCATTTCAGCGCTTTCGCTTTAAGATAAACTGAAGCCACAAACGTTTTTGCCATAAACCTATTCAAGCCACCATTGGAATGCTGAAGCAGTGTCACTTCCTTTTGAGAGATTGATAAATAAACCTCACAGCTTTGAGGAGTCAATTCAGTCTTTTTCTGGGCAGATTTTTCAGCTTCAAGACACAGCGTAAACATTCCATCTTACCAGGCCTAGATTTGCTTTCATTGGGCGAAGAATTATCAGTTGAGAATCTCCCTGAAGGTATTCATCCATTGGCGTCACTAGGCTGATCAAACCGATCAGTCTTCCTGATTTCAGCAGGAAATAATTTTATTTTTCTCCTTTGCTATGAAGTTTCTGTGATGGCTTTTATGCGGTGAAGTTGCTAGCCACGCGTCTAAGCTATTCCATGTTATGGACTAAAGACCAACTTGTAATCTTGGAGAGGTTAAATAATTTCTAGGATTACACAATTTATCATTCTGATCGATGTAACTAAAAGAGAGAGAGGAGGATTGTATACTTCTTCAAAATGTCATTAAGTTCTTGAATATCAAAAGACAAACTCTAGTCTTTAAGTACTGAGAAAAGGCTTTCACTGAGAGCAAAGATTTAAACAGAGTGCTATAAAAAGCGAATAGTAGCCAGCTTATTCTGAAAGATCTGTGCGTCGGAAGCACAGCGGTTAGGACTCTCGCCGACCATGCACATGGTCCGAGGTTCGATCCGCTGCCGACGCACACCTGATCTCAATTGATTAGCCTGCGAAATTTAGGCTACCGATATCTCATGCTGACAATCCCATACTTGTACTAGAAATACGGTGTGGAATCAAGCCATAATAAAAAAATTGAAGAAACTGTGATTATTTAAAACTAACTTTTATTACAGTACTGTCTCCGCTCAATACTCAAGATCAGATGGCCAGAAAAGATCAGCAACAGGGATCTCTGGGAGCGAACCAATCAGGAACCGATTGTGAAACAAATAGGCAGAAAGAAATGGAGATGGATTGGCCATACGCTGAGGAAACCATCAAGTGACATCACTAGACAAGCCATTGCTCGAGTGGAACCCGAAAGGGAGGCGGCGAGTTGGTCGTCAGTGCAAGGGTGACTTGGAGGAGGTCATGCGAGGAGGAGATGAAAGCATGTGGACAGACCTGGAGCAGGGTGAAAAAGTTGTCAGAAAACCGAAGGCAATGGAGGTGCGCAGCTGAAGCCCTATGTTCCTCTAGGAACTAAAGGATACAATAAATAATAAAATAATAAATAGTTTAATTGCGAAGCTTTCATTGTCCCTGTAGACAACATCTTCGGTGAAAGCTTTAATGTGAAGTAAACTTATATGAGTTCTCCAGGAATGGATATAACTATCTCTGTCGTCAACTTTAATTATTTTTGGTTGTTGATGTACATTAATACTGGTTCTTTTCCTTAATTTGCATTTGGACGTTTTGGTCATGTGACCTGTTTTGTAATTATGTGTCTGTTGACAGTATATTGATCTGAATACTAGAAATCTATTGATTCCCAATCAATCACATCTAAGTTCGTCAGGAAAGACAATTATATCACTCATGAAGAATTCAAGTTGGTTTGCTTTGAAGATTTTGTCTTGGTGGAGAAATGAAAGCTTTGCAATTAAACCACTCAGTTAAAAAAAACAACATTAGCCTGACAAATCAGTCGGTCAGTCAGTTATTTTGAGGTTGAATGGTTGAAGACAATCAGCAGGAAGCTCTACCTGATCAAAGTTTTGTGCTGTTTTTGGCACTCGTCAGCAAGGCGTATCTGCAACCTTGAAGGAACTCATATTCCCTTTGCGACTCGAACACGTATCAGTTGGCTTGATTATTTCAGCAGTCCTTACCTAAATAGGACAACATTTGGAAGGAATTCGCAAATATATAGCATATACGATGACATTATATATGTATATAACATTTGAAAGTATATTTTATTTCTTCACGTTATGAGTGTAATGTAGGGCCTCTAGCTTTGAGCTTTAGAGTTCCAGAAGTGTTTCTCTTCATTTTACGAATCGCACTTGCTAGCCTCATGCTCAACTTTCCCTCTTTAATGGGCTTACTTATCGGCTAAGTGGGGTTAAGAATTGCGTTGACCGAGCACAGAACCTCAAGCCACGTGGGTGGGTGGTGGATGTTCTACCACTGAACCACCTACGCACGTGTTCATGTACACATAGAATAAAATAGTGTTTCTATTGTAAAAGCTAATATCTAGCGTGATACCGTTGATGTTTGTTTTCATATTTACAGGGTGCAGATCTAATCACATCTTTTCGAAAATTACTGAACCCTCATCAAGTTTTTAATCTAGACTATGGGGGACCATTGCCAGGATTGCATTGTTTTCGACATTTGAAACAATTTAAAATACTTGTATGCGGTGGAGATGGAACAGTTGGCTGGGCATTATCATGCCTTGATAATGTTGGTCAAGATGCTGCATGTCCTACGCCACCAATGGCTATCCTACCATTAGGCACTGGTAATGATCTAGCGCGTGTTTTACGTTGGGGTTCTGGTTATACTGGAGGAGAAGAACCTTTATCTATATTGAAGTAAGTTTTTGAACTTTGTCTTTTTTATGTTTCTCAACCATGAATCGATATCCTTTCTGTTAGACATCAGTTCTCTTGACCGATTCACAAAATGTTGACTGTGTCTGAGTGTTACTTGTTAGTGGTGTAGGTGAACATGATAAAAGTGAGTTGAGATACTAACGGTCTGTCAATTATTTGTCTTTTCATAACTCATTGAATAGGCATTTGATGATTTCTCTCTAGTTTTGTTGTTATAAGGAACTTTCTCCTTCGATTCCTGATGTATAACCTAGTTGAAGACACGCAAGGATGACGTTACACATGGAGTGCTGAGTAATGGTGTTGAATTAGTTGATAAAAAAGCATAGAGTTAAATGAATTGAGCCACCATTTTTAACGTTGATTTTTGCCTCAAGAAGCGATAGGCGAGAAGTCTTCTAGGAGTAATCAAACCGGAATATGAAATCACATTGCCGAGCTCAGCTGTTGAGATGAGTCGTGTATTGAGATTTCAATTGCTCGGATGAGTCCTAATACAACTAGAACACATTAAATCCGAGAACATCTCCTGGCCTTTAGAAGTGGCCATGCATGTTACGACTCGATATTCTTACTTTGCGAGATCCTGAAACAAAGACGCACGTTTCAGTGCCTGATTTTCTTTTCTAGAGTTCTTGACGTGATGATGATATTAAACTCATTAATACAACAAATGTCTCACTGAATGGGATGCTTCATAAATGCATCTCCTATACTCAAAACTGCGCAGTCAAATAATTTTGATAACCATACAGCCTATAAGGAGCTATCTTGTTAGCTTCCTGTAGCATTATTCATTAAGAGTCTTATCCTTCACCGTCATTATTTCACTTTGTTATCTGTAGGCTTATTAGGATTTTTCTCTTTCTTCATCGAACTGCATCAGAGTATTAACTCTGATAAAGATGTATATCTGAAATCAGATACAACGATATATAAATATATGTTCTTCATATAACTGTATCATCAACAGTTACCCTCACTGTATAATGAAGAAAGATAAGTAACATGGTACTTTGGAAACCAACCAACCAAGAATCTCTTGGCCAACAAAAGTGCAGAAAAAATGGAGGTAGATTAGACACATGCTGAGGAGACTTTTGAGTGATATCAAGCGTCATATCCTCAATTGGAACTCGAGTTGGAGACGACGAGTTAAGCATGTGTCGGAGAGTGACATGGAGGAGAACGTGCGAAGATCAAATAAAATCGTATGGGCAATCCTTTAGTCAAGTAAAATGCATGTCAGGCGACAGAGTGAAATAAAGGACTAAAGAGCTGTGTTCCACTACGGAATAATAATAAGAAAAAGTGATGTAATTAGAAGTTAATTGGTGGATGATGACTAACAGTGGAATCTAGGATGCGTATTTCGTCCTATTTCCGACTCGTGGTCAGCTGGATGTACCTGCATTCCGCAGTGAGTGATGATGTTCCCACCGAGGCTCGAACCCAGTACCCATAGATTCAAACGCCAAAGTGTTATCCACTAGACCACTTGGGCCATGAGATCCACGTCTTGTGCAACGGTGTCATATTAATTATTTAGTTCGATTTTAGATTTTTCCGTCGATTGATTGGACCGAAGTGCTCGGTCTCACGTTGACCCGTCGGCTTCTTACGCAGATATAATAACTATTAAATTTCAATGTGGTAGGGTCAGCTAGCTATAAATTCTTAGATCGACTTTGATTCGAGTATAGAGAAGATAAACCTACAGGAAAACTGGGAAGTGTTGCACAGCACAAAGTTTGGAATTGCATAATCAACATTCTTTTCAGTTGAAAAATAGATGAATCACTGAAATCTTCTTAAACGTTTCCTCAAAAGGATATAAGTTAACAACTCCCTTGTATAATAATCTATATTCATTCGTCATCTGGGATATTTCTATGGGGACTGGCTTTTCTTCTATTTTTTTACAGAGATGTAGTAGAAGCTGAGAATATCCGACTAGACCGTTGGACTGTTGTCATTAAACCAGATCAAGCAGAAAAAGATGCCCAGAAGAAACAACTACAAATTGAGGCGAATTCATCGAATACAAATGAAGACTCTAGCCGAATTTTCGTAATGAATAATTATTTCGGTTTAGGTATAGATGCTGATTTAAATTTAGACTTTCATATGGCACGTGAAGAGAATCCAGCAAAATTTAATAGCAGGTAAACTGGGATTACTTTTGTTTTTACTTCTTTTCATTCCTTTGTGTTTTGTGTGGAACACAGCACACCAAACGTAAAGCTTTGGAGTTGTTTTTATGGGTTGGGGTTTATTTATTATTATTATTGCTCCCTTGGGTTCCTAGTGGAACATAGGGCTTCAACTGCACGTCTCCATTTTCTTCTGTCTTCTGCTATACTTTTCACCTGCATCCATGTTAATCCATATTCTTTCAACTCCTCTTCACACGATCTCCTCCATGTCACCCTTGGACGTCCCACACGCCGCTTCCCTTTCGGGTTCCACTCGAGGGCTTGACCCAGCGGTCTCCTCAGCGAGTGTCCGATCCATCTCCACTTTCTCCTGCATATTTGTTGGTTGGCGATTGGTTCTTGCTTTGTTTGTTCCCATAATTCCTTGTTGGTGATTCTTTCCGGCCATCTGATCTTCAGCATAGAGCAGCGAAGACAGTTGTTAATAAAGGTCTGCAACAGGCTGTTGGAAATATTCTTTGTGACCCTCCAAGTTTCTGATCCGTATAGAAGAAATGACTTTATGTTTGTATTGAAAATCCGAATTTTGTTGTTGATGCTGAGTGACGAAGATTTCCAGATTGATTTCAAGTTGATGAATGTGTTTCTCGCCTTCCTCCGATTTGACATCCTCGTCCCTTCCTCCTGTAGTTGAGACAATGCTCCCTAGATAAGTGAGTGAATGAAGTAACCTCTTTCAAATCCCTCCCGTTGATGGTGATTGACGCTGGATGTTGCTTGTTCTGGTCGGAGTTCTGTCTCCAGTGCGTCCTTTAATCTCTCCAGGATGATGCGACTCAGGATTTTACTTGGCGTCGATAGGAGCATGATTCCTCGCCAGTTCTTGCAGAGTGAGGCGTAAGTCGCCCTTCTTTGGTAGTTTCACGAGGTAACCTTTCCTCCAGTCAGTAGGCACCTTTCCCTCCTTCCAGACCTTTTGCAATAATGGAGTCAGCATGTCTGCTGTAGTCTCTGGGTCTGCTTTCAGTGCTTCAGGGGGTATTCTATCTGGTCCAGCTGCCTTTCCAGCTTTCAGAAGCTTGATTGCATTCAAGACTTCAGCTCTCGTTGGAGGATTGGTGTCAACTTGCAGTTGTGTGCGCTCTGTTGTTGGTATTTCTGGACGGGTTGCAGGTGGTGGTCGGTTCAAGAGTCCTTTGAAGTGATCCGCCCATTGTTTAATCTGTTTTTCTTCCTTGGTAATGGGCTTCCCTTGGCTGTCTTTTATAGGTTTTGCTTGTGTTGGTCTCTTCCCGGATAGAGATTTGGTTATCTGATATAGTGTCCTCAGGTCCCTTTTGCCTGCTGCCTTTTCAGCTTCAGTAGCTAGATTGTCGTAGAATTGTCTTTTGTCCTTCCTAGCACTTTTCTTCACTTCTTTGTCCAATGCTGTGTAAGTTGAGCTCATCGTCTCCTTCTCCTGTCCGTCCTTGCATTGAATCATTTTCTCTTTCATCATTCTCCTCTATTCTATTAATTTCCAAGTGTCCGTTGAGAGCCATTCCTTGTCTTGTCTCTTCTTTCTTCCTAGAACCGTTGAATGCGTTTCGTTGAGAATAGCCTTCAGAGACTTCCAATGTTCTTCCACGCATGATTCTTCAGTGATGTTGCGTAGTGTTTCCTGCTTTGCTCTGACAGTTGCAGTGAAGGTGTCTTTTGTGGTTGTGTCCTTCAGTTTTTGAGTGTTGAACTTGCATTGTGGCCTATCCCCAGCTATCCTCGAGGCTTTTAGTTTCACCTTGAAAGTCCCTTCTACTAGATAGTGGTCTGAACCCACATCTGCTCCTCTCCTTGACCTTGTGTCCAGTAGGCTCCGTCTCCACTTTCTTGAAATTGAGATGAAGTCTATGTTGTTTTTGGTGTTTCCATCTGGTGAAATCCATGTCGTCTTGTGTATATCCTTGTGTTTGAACACACTGCCACCAATCACCAAATCATTGAAGGCGCAGAAGTCTGAGAAGAGTTCACCATTGTCGTTCATTTCACCGAGGGCCTCACGACCCATGGTGAGTTCTCTTCCTGTGTTGTCTCGCCCCAGCTTCGCATTCATGTCGCCCATCAGGATTTTGATATCACCATTTGGGACGTTGTCCATTATTGCTTGTAGTTGTCTGTAGAACGCCTCCTTCTTCTCTTGTTCTGATGTAACAACATAAGACAAGGGCCAGGCAACAGATCGTTTTATTATGAAAATCAACACGTATTTATACATATTTCACATACATTATTATAGCTTATGCAAGTAGACAAGCGCAGTCATCTGATTGGTTTTTTATCAGAAGTTAGGGAGACAAACGCAGGCTTCTGATTGGTTGTTTCGGGATTCCTCGACAAATAGAGTTCTCTATCTGCGAATCATATTTTGCCACGTTAACTTTGCTGTGATTGGTTGTTGAATCAGCCTTGCTCATATTTCCTCACGGCCTGCTCTCACCACACTGAGACGTTTGTAGGCGCATAGCATTGAATGACTGTAACTTTCCTTCCTTTTGAGTTGAACCTATGGGTTGGAGTTGCCAGCCTTAAACCCACTCTTCTCCCTTTCTGGGGTTTAATGCCGGCTGGGTGAGAGACTATCAAGAAGCGGATCTGGACCTCTCCTAAATATGATGGGATTCTATCAATGAACCGTCAATTCACAATTGATAGGAAGCCCTGGGTTTAGATTTCGTAACTCTTCAAACTCCTGAGGAACTGGCATCTCCTTTAGGGGTTGAACCTGCGTCACACAGTGGTGCAGTCAGAGACGTTACAAGTAATCTGTTGTATAATCAGTTTAGCAAGGCTGTAGCTTACTGACTAACCTAAGAGGTCAAGTGAGTGAGTTCCACCCATTACCGTCATCAACATAAGTAGAGTTTTAAATGACACCAACTATCATGTAACATGTGTAGACCAATGCCTGACACTATATACTATTTGTCGATAGGCATAAGTAGTTGCGCTACACTAGCACGAACAAGCAGTGCTTGCTAGCCAGATCAAAGTAATCTAAACACCGATAGAGGCTGTTCTGCTCGTTTGCCCCTGAGTTTATCAGCGGGGTGTCCGGTTTAACTCAGCTTAGGAAGCCAAATAATTTCAAACCACCTGGACTCTGGCTCACTACTTCAGCAGACTGGTAACAGAAAGAATCAAATTCGCAATTTGCAGTTTACGCAGTCGACGTGAAATTTCCCAATAGTTTCCTTTGGAAATGAAAATTATTCGCATCACAATTTTCGCTGTCCACCCGATACTGTAAATGACTATTACTAAAACAAGCATAGATCCATGACACTATATACTACTGCGGATTGATAAGTTTATCACTAGCATATTCCATCATGTATTTATGCTTGGCAACTTGAATGCTGCTTATCAAGCATCAAGTAGATCAGATCATGTTACTGTTATCTGAATAACTTTCGGTTTCAAAAGAAAACCCTAAGGTGAATTTTTGCCTCGAAATGAGAATTTGATTTAAGGTGTGGATCGTTTCAGAGAAGTTGAATATGCATATTTATAAAATTATATTTGTAAAATCTCAGCGAAATTGAAATGACTGATTCTAACGTTTCGTTCAGCAATCTGGTCCGAACTTCCTCAGGGAAATTAATCGAAATTAATATAACAGAGGTTTATATATAAAAGGAACATCTCTTGTTTTTGATAACTTTGTCCAATCATGAGTCATGAAACAGACATCAACATGTATAATAAACAAAATTTTATGAACTATGATCAAAATTTGGCCTCATACTTTCAAAATTAGTCTACTTTTTGTTAAAAAAATATGTGTACATTCAGTATACAATGGTGTGTGTATGTGTGTGTGGGTGAACAGTCATAACACATTTGTTATTCTCTCTACAAGAAAACGTAGATAATCGGGAATTTGACCAAGTGTGACAACTTGTTGATGCATATCCAATTTTATTTATTAGTCAGGATTTGCCATGTATCAGCTAATATCACACCTTCACGTCCGTTCAAACTGTTGGGATTCACCCATATATGTAGGGCTTCTGCAGTCAGTCTTTCTTTATATGAACCAAAACCTTTCTGTAAAACCTTAGTCTTATCAAAGTCGATTTTGTGTCCCGTTTCTATCGAATGCAGTGCAATCGCTAAGTTGTTTTCTAGCTTCTTGAAGTCTGCAGAGGTCTTTGGAACCACCTTTAGGCATTGTTTATGCTCTTTCACTCTTATATTTACCTATCTGGAAGTTTCTCCTACATATACTGCGTTACAATCCCCACAATTGATCCGGTATTCGCAATCCTGCTGGTTTTCTTGTTCTAATTTTATCCTTAACTTTCACCAGTAATGAACGTAAGGTGTTAGTTGCACGAAAATACACTCTTATGTTATGATCGTTAAGGATTCGCTTTATTTCATCGGATGTTTCTTTGCGGTAAGGAACCACCGCTGCACCAACCTAATTCTTAGCGGCAGGTTTCGATTCATCCTTATCTTCACATTTTATAAATGTCTACTTCTCACTTAGCGCTCAATTATTTTGCAACTTGAACAAAGCAAGAACTACAGTTTTAGCAGAATAAAATGGTACCATCTTTTATTTCGTTGCCTTCTCGTCAGCTGCTTACATGGCAAACACATTATTAAATATATCTACAACAACAATTTTAACATACTTGCAACTATCTGGTCAAATCTTGATCACAGTTCATACGAATATGCATATTGTTGTCATGAAATGATTGTGTAACTTTGTTATTCTACCCAACCTCTAGTTAGTTTCTGCTTACCCGCTATCTGAATAAAAAAAAAATTGGAGATTCTAGTTCATGCGCTTAGAAATCGAATGCTTTGGCAAATGTATATAGTTTAATAAGGAGTAGCTAGTGTGACGTATCTAGTTCTTTAAATTTGAGTTGAATTCTACCAGTCAAGTGTGCAATGTGGTTATCATGCCACACATTAGTACACACTAAGTTGGTGTTAGATGGTTGCAGGAAATCCTCAAT